TGTGACAATGCTCGGGTCACCAATAATGAGTCCATTATGGCTCTATTATGCGCCATTCAGTTGCGACAAGCTGGTGCCCCGTGAGGTCCAGAGTGTGGTGGCATGGGATTCCAGTACGGGGGAACCATGACCAGCCTTGGTGGAATCGTATGGACGACACGGCCTCTGGGACGGTATCGACAGTCCAGGCTACGGCGACAGGGTCCAGGTTCAGCGACACAGCGACAGATACAGTCACGTAACCCGGCCAACTCATCACCGCAGCCCCAGAAGCACATCGGAAGCCACGCGACTCGGAGGGGGCTCTGCGCCACCCCCAGGGACAACGGGTCCCCACACAGACACGCAGCTCCTGCCCACGAGCAAGCGACCTATGCGACGCGTTCAGGGACAGGCAGGGATGGGTCTTGCCGCGGAAAATCGGAGCAATGCCCATTGTGGGATCGGGCGGCTCCGTGCGCACCCATGGGCCGGCGATGGAGGGGTGCAGCCGCACGGTGGTCCCACGTACCCGTGCACGGCTAGCCCCCTTCCGCCGGGGGAAAACTGCCGCCTCCCTGAGGCCTTTCAGTCTGCCCGCGAAGATTTCGGGGCGGGGGTTTCTCGGTCAAGAGCCCCTAGCTCGAATGCCCCGGGCCCGAGCAGTCGGAGCTCGACGGTCCGGGTGGGCAGGGATGATGCGCAAGGCCGCTCGCGATGATTTGGGCCGGTGGGTTTACGGAAGGGGGGCCTCCCGCCGATCTGACCGGAGAAGGTTTGCGGCGGCGCCCTTGTGTGGGAAACGCACCGGCCCGGAAGTCTAGGCGGGGCAGCGAGAGGGATTGAGGGATGGCTGGCTTGGTGGCTCCGTGGATGTGCCCCGCGGATGACTCAGTGGGGGATGCGCGTAGGCGCGATGTGATGAGGGATCGTGGGAATCGATGGCAGAATCGGGCGGTATCGGGCGCTGTCAATTTGGTCTGTATGCAAGGGCACCGTGAGCAGCACGGAAACAGGCCAGTCTGGGTGAGAGTCGCCAGGACGGCCATTATGGGGAAGGAGTGGTCATTAAAGGGAGGTGAAGATACCCAGCAATTGGAAATTTGATTAGGAATCGAATGGTGTTTTAATTTTTTCATTTGATGAAGAAGTGAGCATTTTAGGGGATTTTTTTGATGAACGGGAATGGCCACAGGGAACTGGGCTAGTTGGCGGCGCTGGGAAATGACTGATGTGACTGATGATCAGTGGGGGCGTGCGGACTGGGTGTTATGCGATGCATGCATGGAATCCATGCGGGTTCCGACGGTGTGCGTGAGCAGCAGCCCTCCGTGCCGCCAGTTTGCTGTGCAAGATGTCTGGCGCTCCGAGCATCCCTTCGCATGCTCCTTGCCTGGACAAGGTACTGGAGTGGAGGCATGCGCAGGCCTTGCCAGGCCTGAATGAGGTCAAGGACCTCTGCGGACAGTTGGAAGAATTCCAGGTGGCGCGTCTGGCGGCTCCTGAGGTGCATGCATCGGGGTCGAACGGACAGCCCCAGGAGGACACGGCATGGCGGCGGGCGCGAGACCTCCAGAAGGCTTTGTTGGAAGTCTGGGAGGCATCTCTTTCAGACGACCGACATATATATGCTGCGGTCCAGACGGCGGGCATGGAGTTCCAGCTTTCGCTGGACATGTGCAAGATCGCCCCCGCTGTGAGGGCAGAAATTGTGATGCAGTTTGAGACCATGTGTTACATGGGACTCAAGCCAGCCTGGGACGCAGCACGGCGGGATGTGGAGGTCTCCGAGCTGCGGGCGTTGGACAACAAGCCTGTGATTTGGAGGGCGCTTACAAATATTGAGGATGACATTCGGGCAGCGAGGCTGAGGGTCATCGACGAGTTTTTCCACCAGCGTTTGGCGGCAAGCTCAGTGGAGGAAGCGCTGGCGGAGGACAACGAGCTGCGTCGTCTGGATAAAGATCGCTCGTTCGTGATGCGGCTGCCGCCCACACCCCCAAGACAAGATTTTCGTTCGCCTGCCTTGCGAAGGGCCATAGGCGAATGGCATGCCCGCGACATGGACATCAAGGAGAAGTGGAGGTTTGACGCCATACGAGTGGAGATTCAGGGGTGGCTCCAGGGCCACAAGCCCATTCCCGAGTTCGACCGCGAGGAGACGCCCTCCGCTGAGAAGCATGGGTGACGGTGCGGTCGCGGAGCGCGGGACCCAGCGGCCGGGTAGGTTCTCCATTGATGTGACAGGTAGACCCTGACTGGACCGTATATGGGGATCAAGGGAATGCCCAGGGGTTGACGGGAGGACACCTGGGAGATGTTTTTGCGTTGAAAGTGACATATTAAGGGGGAGTAGGATCAGTTGAGTCTGGTGAATTGGACGGTGGGGTGGAGCGTCGGGTCAGAAGGATAGAGAATCGAGATGTGAGGCTGTGGTGAGATCTGGATTTACCCTTGGACCGTTGAGTGAACCTTTTTGGATTTTGTCGTATGAGAGAACATGGGAGATGTATAAGAAGGCGGGGGTGCGCATTGTAGCCGCCCCCGGTCTGTAAGAATTTTCCTCCTTATGACTGGTGCACCACAACAGGCCGCCTCTCGAGTCGAGGGTGGGACCTGGAGGTCGGGCGGGCGGTTTCCTGGAAAGGGATAAGCCCAGCGTCCTGTGTGAATCGATATCCGGTGATATACGACGCGGTGTTACAGTTTCCGCATGTCGTATTCCACTGTGCGTGCCCCGGAGGGTCGTGCTGTCGGTCGGCACCGATCTTTACAACAATCAAAGAAATTTTGGGATCAAGGCAGAGGATGTGTGGGGATGGGGCGTTGAAGGACACGCTGGGAGGAATGCGGGAACGGTTACGAACGAATGAGAGTGGGACGTGTGTAGTTAGCGGGGCAGTTGGAGGGAGCCGCGATAGAAGCAGTAGAGCAAGAGTGAGGGAAATGGATAGCGGGTGGGGAGCCTGGGAACATCGGTGGGCGGACGGGTCCAGGGCGCTGCCCTATATGTTTGGGAATGGGAAATTGGAAGGAATCGGTGTTAGTTGTGGGATCAAAGTGGATGGGGGAGGATCGTGGGATTTAATTCAGGAAGGGCCAAGCCAGAATAGCTCGGGCGGCCGGTGGAATATTTGTTTTAGGTGGCAGCCTTCGAACTGGTTGGACAGCCAGATTCCTTGCAAAGCATATAAGGTAATCCGAGCGTACAAAATAGCACTTCGTGTAACGAGCAATGGGGTTCATGCCAGAGCCACCGACGGCAAAGGCAAGGGGTATCCGACCGTGTGACTGCACCACCGGGCACTCTCCGAGGGGCCGGCCAGCCGTGCTGCAATTCTTTGCTCCGGCTAACAGATGCTTTGGGCGTCTTCACATTCTCAAGACGAGATGATGTCCAAACCGCACCCGCATTTGCTCAAGACATGCCGTTAATTGTCACAAAATCTATCAAAGTAATCTCGACTTGGGGCCATCGCGCAATGTTCTCGCTTCGGAATGTCCTCGCTCTTCGCGTTCCTTGCACTGTGCATTTATCTTCTTGGACTGGTGGAATTGGCATCGTTTTCTCACAGCATGGCGAAGAGCGCCAAGCACGCTTACTTTGAAGATCTGTCTTTTGTGTAGTCTTCTTCCAGTGTAACGAATCTTACCCAACCCATTCCAGCCCACCCACGTCAATTTTGTGTAAAGAACGACAATATCTTGGTGGCGCTACGCCTTGCCGCAAAAGACTCGTGGCATCAAACGACGGCAGACTTGCACGAACCAGACCGACCAAAACTCCCAGATTCACGTGATCTGCCCATTCACCTCCATTTAAGCTTAATGCGTTCAGGCTCGCAGAATTGGCGCCCAACCCTGTCTGGCAGCGCGAATGCAGCACACCAAACTAACGGAGCGCGCAGCCGTGGCGCAGGACACAATCAGCCCGCCAAGGCTCGGCGAGACGCGCTGCAGGGTGGCCAGCACGTTAAATAGGCACTTAACTACAGGACGGCACCAGTCAACAACCTCCACAACTCCCCCTGTAATCGCTGCCGCATCCTGGAAGGTTTCGAAAGCCGTTTGCCGTCCACGGGTGTGCGTGCCGATAGCTAGACCACCCAACGAGGCGCGGCACGCCTTCCGAGGTTTTGAATGGTTTAAAATCGCGTCAAGTCCGGTCAACGCCGTCGGGCCTCAGGCTCCGCCGAGACGACACCACGCGCCCGACCTCGCTGAGGCTTATTGCTTCCCTTCTGTTACATCCCCAAGCACTGCAGCAAACGCCCAGGCGCTCGGCCAGAAACGTTGCCGGCGTCCGGGCCGAATTCTCCAATGCCGCGCCGGAGCATTCCGACACCGACGCGGCAGCAGCATTCCGAACGCTTCGACACCAGGGTGTCGAACACAGACCGCCAAGTTCGGCTCCAAGGGATGACCGCCGCGGGTTGCATCCCGCCAGCCTGCGCGCACCAGAAATCGAACAATCGCCTGCCTCCCCCTCCCCCCCAGCAGCCCGCCTCCCTCCCCCCCCTTCCTGTGGGAGACCGAACCGCTAAGCAAATGTACATCCCGACCTGCTCATGTCCTGGAAGAACTTCCGAGTATGCTTCGACCAAGTCACACACACATATGTACCGCAGCTTGAAAGCCCCTTGATATTTTCAATATACTTGCTTGACACAAGTCAGCGATGATTCCCACGCTCGTGCCTGTGATCGCGCCCGTCCCGTCAGCCCCTCTCGTTCTCCCCCCGTGCCTCCGAACAACGCAACCCCGGCGCCCCCCTGCCGGCCCTTGATGCACTGTCGGCACCCAACTGTAATATCTATACATTGGTCCAAGTCTACATGCGCAACTTGCTCCAGTACTCCACCCACCCCCCGGCCCCCACGGAATGACGAATCCACGAATTGAAAATCGACGAATCGACGAAACGTCAAACCGAAGAAACGGGAGGGGGGTGAGTATGCCTGGAGCTCGCCAGGCGTCGACCAATCGTAGGGTGCAAATCAAGTGATGATCATGTCGGCTGGCTACTGATCGACTTCGTTCAAAGCTACCCCGTCCGCAACTTCCTTCCCCTTCGTCTTCTCGCCCTTGTGCCTCCATCCGCAGCAGGCGCCCCAACACCTCAGGGGCCTCCCCAGGATGTTGCCGCCGTCGACCAAGTTGAGGCCAAAGGCGATGAATACGAAGCCTGGGCACAGGGGAGTGCGGCATCAGATGCGGGGAACAAGTGGGCCGTAGTATATTCCACCCTTCCGCATTGCAGGCCAACGCTTGGCCATTTTTTGCGGAGAAACAGTAAAAACAACAATCTCAAAATTTGGCGGGGGCAGCGTAAACGAAAGACAAACAATTCTCTGAAAAGAAATGCGCAGCGGAAAACGTGACGATAGAACTGTTTGATGTGGAAGGGTGTCGAGAAATAGGACAACGTTACTTCCCCGATCCAATCTTCTGTTTGCACGCCAACATGTGATGCATTACTCATACTTGAGGTTCGTAAACTCGTCACGGCTGCGCTGAAGGTGCATGATAATCGGCAATTGATATGATGCATATACATCATATCATCATGCATCATGCCACATATACATCATATAGCATATATGTATGTGTATTACACATACATACATCACATCATATATACGTTATATATGATATAGATGATGTATGGTGTGCGCATAATGTTGGCATTATGCGCCACTGCCGGCAATTGATATGCTGATGATGATATTGGCACAGAGCGAAGCGGCGCATGGACAAGTCGATGCGGTGCCTATTGACGGCAGCCCAGACTACGAGCCCATTGCGAGTATCCCGAGAAGTACCATCACAAGCACAGCTGTGGGTTCAGCCCTAACTACGTGCCCAGCTACCCGTATTCCAGATTCACCTTGAAGCAACAGGAAGATGGAGAAAGTTATGCGGTGCACGTAGAAGATGGCAAAGACGCCGGCGCTCAGTGTGAAGATGCCCATGAGCATCTCGGATGTGTACGCACGGCACGTCGAGTAGATCGCCTTCAGGCGCTTCAGCTTGTCGCTGCCGCCGCTTCCCTTCTTTGAGGTCACCACCCACTCGTTGGCGCGCTGCAGATCGAAGGCACCTGTGCAATGGGCCCCTCGTCAGGCGCTGATAGAAAACGCCACGCGAAGGGCGGGTGATGTAGTGGGAGACTACCCCACTGAATACACATGCTAGACTACTGAAGCTGTGTCACACTGGAACGACAAGGGGTTGACTGCATGGCGAGAGTGGCACGCAAAGGCGCTTGGTTGCGCATGTTGCGGTTGATGTGCAAGTGGCACTGAAATAGCAATGGTGCAACAAGAGTAGCAGCAGTGATTCCGGAATTTTGGGCAGTTCAACGCGGTTGAGTGCGGAATGGAAGTCGATACTACACTGCCACAACGCACAATAACGAACTTCATTTAAGGAAGTCAGTTGACACAACGATGACATTATTGAAACAAGGGATTCGATTGTGTGTGATGCGCTATTTTTTCCAGCCAAAGCGAGCTTGAAGGACGAAAACTCTTTGACTCACCGTTCACAACAGCCCAAAGCTTCACTATGCTCATGGCGTTCTCGAACAGCACCATAACGACAACGTAGTACCACTCCTTTGGGGAGAAGATTGCTGTCGTAACGGTGACGCTCACGGGTAGATGGACCAAAGCCCACAGCGGGATGGAGACCTGTAGTTCGTATTGTGAACGCAAATCAATGAATGAAAATAGATGACAACTGTTGAATCGAAGCCCAATACGCTCAAATTGATCGATACTGCAATCTACCTATGCAATATCTGGGAAACGCCAGGGGTGAATCGACAACGAAGACTTGCAGCGTCGATCACGTTCATTTCCTGGTTGGAAAGGAAAGAAGAAAATAATGCTGGCTCTTTACCAAGCTTTGGCAAGCGCTCATGGATGTATTCATCAATGGAATCAATGGCACTGCACGCACCACAGAGGCGACACAATCTGGTTTCGTTCCAACACAGTTACGACACACTCCATGCCAGATAGCACTTCCTCCTGCCTCACAGCACACAATTAGCTGCCAATCAACTCTAATTAAAGAGGAGGCAAAAAACTGCGCAAAGCGTTCATTCCCTTGCAAGCGAAACGCTGCCGCGTGGGAGCCTCACCTCTGGCGTGAATATGGACAGAGGGACGAGCGTGCAGAAGAAGAGAAGGGCCACCATGTGGCAGGCGACCTTTCGCAGGAAGAAGGTCAGGAAGTTGAGCTCCACCTTGCGTAGGAAGGGGAGTTTAGAGGCCCAGATGGCGGCGCTTGAGCGCCTCCAGAGCTGCACGGGGCCGCAGCTCCACCTGTGCTGCTGCTTGCGGTAGGCGAAGTAGGAGGCAGGAAGCTGAGAGGGGACACACGGGGAAAGAGCCTCAGGATTTCTCAGGGTCTGACAGGGAGCGAATTGAGCTGGGTCGAATAAGAAACAGCTTGGTAACTTAATCAGAACATGGGGAAAGAGGGTGAAGCAAGGTTCTGCACCGGGCAGCAGAGGATGGGGCACATTTGATGGCCAGCACAGCAGAGTAGTGACTGAAAATAAGTTGCGATACTTCAGTGGCTCGATATCGATCGCGTGCACGAACAGTGGCATGTATCGTCACTGACACTGCCCGCTTGCAAATTAAAACGGAAAGCAACAGGAATCACGTGCGGTTGTATGTTGTGGGAAGGAGCCGGAAAAGCTACGAACGGGCAGCTCAGAAGGGGGTTCAGGAGTTGAATACGGTGCTCCAGCGGATGGAAACGTATTGTGTGATGTGCATCTCAGTGCCAGGGAATACAATGCCAAAACACAGGCAGAGCACAAAGCGAACGCTCGTTGTTGCAGTTGACCACTTATCAACCTGGATGGCATGGGAGGCGCTTCTCTCAAGGGTTACGTTCCATCCAACAAATTTGATGCTGCGTCAGCGATGGGCGCATTCCTGGGTGCCATCGCCATCACGATGGTCGTAGAGATGGGTTCTGCTTCATAACGGAGATTCAACCCAAAGCATTCAGCTTCGGCGTGGGTTAACAACAAGCATCCAACATGGCAAGTGCGTCATGTCGTCGTTACCTCATTTAGACAGGTGATGTTGTCCAAAAATATGGCTCTCCATCCTGCAATGTAGGCGCGGAGGGACAGGTCCATGTCCTCCACGGTGGTCCTTGCGTTCCAACCTCCAACATCCTCGATCGTTTTTCTCCTCCAAATCCCTTTGAAGGACAACAAGCACAGGAAACTTTCAATTCACAAAAAATATCAATGTGTCGTTAATTACATCTCCAAGTTCACTTCAATCTGCACTGTGAGCGAATTCGTGCTGATGCTCGGGGGCATTATGCACAATAACCTCATTAAAATCAGCAACCAAAAAGTACGAAAACTGCTATTGAAATGATAGACGGCGTTACGTGCAAGGGCATGTACGGAAACGCACTTCCGGGGTAGAGCTCACGGTATGGGACAAGCAATTAGCTAAACTTAATGCCAAGTGCCCCAATCAACAAGCCGCCACCATTGAGAACCAGCATCGGAGTCAGAATGTCGATCACCAAAACGGAAATCCGTACCTAAACGCACGAACACAAACACAAAAAATTCAAATGCAAATGCGCATAAGTGCAAACAAATATCCGCACCTGCAGTTCCGTTGAAATTGAAAAAAGACCCGCTGGCGAAGTGCACCCACTGCTCGCACTTCACGTGATAGTTGAGGGATAGCTCTTGAGCCTGCAAATCAGGCGGCAAGTGGTCAGTTAAATCGTAGAGAGGTATTCAGTCAAAAATCTTACAGAAATCTTGTCAGCATGCAGAAATTCTGCAAGCAGGCACATCCTCATAATGATGGCATTCAAGTGCACTCTTTTGAACGTTCGGGCGATGTAACTTTTTCAAGGCAACATGAAATATACGGTGAACATAGGGTGCCTTCTTGTAAGGAAGAGCATACACTTTCAGTGAAGCCATATCATCCAAAAGGATGACAAAATAATGGCCACGTCATGTCTCACCTTGGTAAGAAGGGACTCGTCCGCGTTGGTGAAAGTCCAGCGCGCTTGAACGTAACCCACGTCATCGTTGCTGTGAATATAAGGAATCATCTTGAGCTGCAGACAACAGTCGCGGGTGTCAGGTCGCTCGAGGCAGCGCTGGCTTGAACATCCCGAAATCGATCACAACAGCAGGCTTCCATAAACGGCCTGTGCTTAATTTGCCAACGGTAACGTGTTGTGCAAAACGAGCTCTGCAATAGACAACAAGCTGTGAATCTATGCCGAAAGAATCCAAGCCAAATCCGTGCGTATACTGCACTGATCATGCATGATGTTAGCTTGCATTGGCAATGACGTGTGCATCTTGTGCTCACCAGAAAATCTGATTCGGGTCTGAAATCTGCATCAAAAATGGCCACATACTCGTACTCCCTCAATAGCTCAAGCCCCTGCAGAGAAAGCACACATCCGCATCAGCTACAAAAAGCGGAGATGAACCAAAGTCACCAAGAAACGTTTGAATCATGAACACAGCAATCAATAGGGATTCCAAATTCAACTGAACTTACACAGAATGCATGTGCATAAAAACAGGAAACATTGGTATGCGCTGTGGTAGCAGGATTGCCTGCATTTGTTTGTGTCTCTCAGTGTGGGGTCTTGAACTCCCTTGCTCAACTGAACGCAGCTAAAAAAACTGGTTCCTCGTTTTCGGTGGGGATTCTTCAGCGTAGTTGATCAGGAATGACTGATCAATCCAAGCACAATCGAAACACTGCTTTCTTGGCACATTGGCAAACACAAGCGCCGAGAGACAGTGCCGATTGAGACCCGCAGTTGCGACACCTTCCAATTAGGCCTTAAAGGATCAACACTCAAATAGGAGCAGACAGCTCCAGACTGCGGGTGGTGGGCAACTTGGGGTTTGGTTCAATTGCAGCTACTTGTAGGGAATTGGCAGGAATGCGAAAAGGGCAAAGGGATACCGCAACGCGGTGAGGCAGCCAGAGCACATCGACATGGCGGACGCAGCCCTTTGGAGTGTGCACCAGATGACTGAACGGATATTACAATCGCCCGTCATCGCCGACTTTGGACCTGCTGGCCGCCACGTGCCGCGGCGACCGTCCACAGGCGTCCACGCCTCGAGCCTCCAACGAAACCCCTCCATTCAATCGAGCACCGCGTCCACAAGGATGGGAAAGGAAATGGGGCAAAGAAGGGAGACCAACAAGGGAGACAAAGAAGATCGGTAGAGAAGAGGGAGAGCGAAGGGGGGCAAAGAAGAAAAACAAGGGAGAGAAGGAAACCACCTGGAGACGGGGAAATCAGCGGCAGCCCGCGAGCGCACCTCTTTGAGCGCGCCCGCCTTGTACCCCTGGCGGTTGGTCCTCCGGATCGTCATGACGTTCACGCCGCGCTCACGCCACTCCAACACGCTGTCGTCCACCCGGTCGCGCGTCAGTTTGTCGGTGGAGTCGTCCAGCACCTGCGGGGAAGGAAGGCGCCGGGGGCCCAGTCAGACGGGCGCACCGCGGATGACCGCCACATGGAGGGCACGTGCATGGCGAATCTCGGCAAACTGGTTGAGGGCGCGGAATCTTCGTGGCGGATTGGACCCCGCGAGCCCGTGCTGTGCGCGGCTGTCCCCAGATTGGCTTTGCGGAAGAAATGCGCGGCCCTCCTGGAGGGTTTTGATCCAAGCCTGGGGTCGGCGGCGATGGAGTTGCTGCACAACTCAATTGGGCACGGCCGCGTGCACAACCGAAAGTTCCACTGTATTCCCAAGGCCGGGTTCGCGAAAAAATCGCGCAAGCCTCCTGGCGGGCTTTGGTGCACCCCGGTGGCCAGGGCGGATGGATTTTCTGAAAAAACACCGTGGGGACCGGCGTCCCATGCGCTGTCGCGCATCCCATGGCGGCCGTCCGTGCACCCCACGGCACACGTGCCAGGTTGCGCTGCGTGGGACCGGCCAAGGCTGTGAGCGCTCCCGCCCGCCGCCGCTTGGGGTGCGCGCAAGCGGCTCATCGGCCCCCCTTCACCGAGCGACGTTTCTCCCGTGCCTCGCTTTGCCCACCGAGGGTTGATGCATTTGCGCGTGTTGATGCAACGACTCGTTGCATGCCCCCGCGCCGCGTCCGTCCTGTCCGCCAACTCGCCCTTCGAATTTTCCGACCGGCGGTTCAGCCGGCCGCCATCGTCAACACTCACAAACACCTTCGCTCATCTTGGCGACATCCCCCCCAGCCGCCCGCCCGCCGGCCATCCCCATGCGCATCCCCGCCGCAGCATGGAATCCGGATCATCATGCATCGACGCGGGCGGCGGCCAATCCGCATGGATCCCCGAGAGAGCGCGCGGCACTCGCCTGGACTATAAGCTTGTCCCGCGGCCACTGCAACGAGCAGGCGCAGTCCACGATGGTCTGGCAAACCATGCGCTCGTTGAACATGGGCAGCTGGATGGCCACCTTTGGGTACATGTGGCCGGCCTGGGCCATATCCGGCATGGCCTGGCAGCGATACGCCGCTTCAGGTCCCTTGCCCGTGAGCCAGGCCACCAGCTTGAGCTGCAGGTAGTGCGCCACATGGAGGAGGCGGTCCACGGCCGTCAGCAGCGACAGAGCCACGCCCACCGTGATGGCCGCCTGAAGCACCGTCACGTAGATATCATACAGCGTCGCCGCCCATATGAATCCCCCCGCCATGGCGCCTCCTCGCCTCGGAAGCCTCGCTCCTCCGCCCGCCCGTGCGTGTGTTTAATTACGCCGACCCTTGGAGGTGCGCATCACTGCCTGGGGGGGTTTAACTCAGCGGGAGCTGTTGCGCCCGGTGTGAAAAAGGGATTGGCAAAAACGCGCTATGGTGGCAGTGGGGAAGTGGGGGGTAGGAGGGCCAAGCGGGTGGCGCGCCCGACTCGCAGGGGTGGCGGAGGTCCGCGAGGATGCGCGCCCCAACCTCAGGTTTCCCCCCCGCTTGGCCTGCCCTCCTATTTCCCTCTCGGCCCGCCGGCGGGGCGGGTCACTTTGTGTCCGGCGCTGGGAACCCGGGAAGGACAGGTCCGATGGCTGGCGGATCACCTGATTGTCGTCAGGTCGCGTCAGTGGGAACGTTGGGCGGCCTGGCGGGGAGATCATGTGGCTTGCAGCGTCGGCTGGCGGGCGGGGCGGGGGAAATGACGGCGATTCGGGACGTCACATCGCCCACCTGCGAGGATTGGCGCCCGGCTGCCAGGATGCAACCCTACGTCGCGTCATGTAGCGAAACCCGTGGCCATGAGGTTTGGGGCCTGTGGCGGGGAGTTTCGCGAACGGGGCGGAGAAGGGGGGGCGAGTTTTGGGTGGTACAAGTTCACGCGGGCACCCTCACGCGGGGTCAATTGATTGATCTGTCACCGCCAGTCGACTGACTCCGGAGATCGGCGCCCGCCCCTCGCAGTCGCTCTCTCACTCCATTTGCGCCCCCGGTGGCACGTACGCCCCCCTTGACAGCAATCCATCCATCAATCAGCGGTCCACAGCGCAGCACGGAGGGAGGCGGGAGGTATCTTCTTTGGTGATGGTTATGTGTTATTGGTCACCGGCTGTGATCAAGGGGGGGGGGCCACTTCGAGCTTGATCTTCCAACGAGGTTCGCGTGTGGCGACAATCAATCGTTTTGCTCGCCCATCGTACGTACAAATGCGTACAGTAGCAATGCTGCAATGGAGCGCCAGCGCCAACAACCCGCCAACAAGTGCACCAGAGACCGAGAAGAATAGGGGATATGCCAACAATGGGAGGGGCGGGGGCACGGAGCTCAGAGGCATCTTCGGATCAGGGTGTCGGGAACGTAGTGCCCACTAAGAAATGCGCCCAACCTGTACTGAGTCTGCAACGGTCGGGCACACTTCACTGAGGACAGTCAGCAGTGCTGACTGTCCTGGGCTGGCAGCGCAGGGATCGCCCCCAATTTGGCACGACTAGGTAAGGAATCCCTTCCCCTGCGATCCGATTCAGGCAATCGCCGGTGTTCAGCCACGCAGACAACATACACGAAATGGCCATTTGTTCATCTCCACCATTTTGACCATCCTTGTCCCAAGCACCGCCCAAACCCCCACAGCAGCGAGGCTTGCAGCGCTTGCGTCCCATTGTGACTCTTCCTCGTACTCTTCCTCGTCCTCCTCTTCTCCCTCCTCTCCCTCCTCGTCACATCCTTCGTCGTCATCATCCCAATCCTCGTCGCCCACGCTCCTCGGCACCCCGCCCCCTCTGGGCACCTGCTCCCAGCCCTCCTCCTCAAAGTCGTCCTTGAAGAACACGTCCTCCGGTGTCCTATCTTTGACCTCCGACATTTCTAGGACGGTGGAGCCGGCCTCGAAGAGCATGTCCTGCTCGTCCCTCGTGAGGTTGATGCGGCCCCTCCAGTGCTGCCTCAAAAAGGGGTCCTCGAATCCTCCCTCGCACCCGATCTTCGTATGCAAAGCTTTTTGTCATTCACCCAATCATTGAACCCATCAATTCACATGAATCATAAATCCGTTACCGTAGGTTTGTAAACCATCCGTATAGTGACGTAACGCTTGGCCTTTTTCTTGCAAAGCAACATTGAATAAAATATTTTGCGGAGCAACGCTGAAAACTCAATATTGCTCTGAAAGGAAACGTGCGGAGCAAGCTTTTTGCTTTGACACCATAGCGGTAAAATTTTGTGACACGGAAGTATTGAATTCTCTGCAGTAACTACCCTTCATTACTTTACCCGTCATCGGTCCATGCGGCCCCAGAACAACCGCTTTAATCAAATAACGCGGTCATGAAAGTGAAAAACTACGCAAAATCGGGAATATTGTAGTGCATGAAAGCTGCAAAAAATTGCACCAGAGGCTGAAGCACAACTGCGCAGTTCAACAGCGGGCGAAATTTTGTCAGTCGTCCGCCAGATTGGGACGAATGCATCTTGACCGAATGAAACATAGCCGCAACTTTGCACAGACAACGGGCCGGGCTGCTATCCGCCCATTCCAGCAACACCAGCCCCGTGAACCGAACGCGGCTCACTCTGCGCGACAACGCCAAGGTGAGCCCCCACCAAACTTTCAACAGGACCTGTCGACGTCGTGGCCCACGTTGCAAAAGCGACTGACCGAGCGCATCCTTGGAAACAAATGGCGTCGAAATGCGGCGGTCATGCCATGTGTCTCTGTGCGTACAGTACACCACAGACTGCACGATCCTTGACAGGCGAGCGAGTGCATCCTCGCGCTTCTCGCGTCGCAGCACAACTGTGCTTCTCTGTTTATGCACGCAGATGCGCTGCAGAAGTCTGGAGGTGATAGAGGAAACAAGCGCGCAGCACAACGAAGTTCGACAGGCGTCCATTGACGAGCCCAGGGAGCACGCACCGGCATGGTGGCGATGGAGGTCAGGAACTTCTTTGCCAGTCCCATCTTCAACCCTCCGTACCACTCACCATCGCAGGGGCTTATGGCTCCGTAGACGATCACATTGCCTGCATACTCCATACCACACAAATCAGCGGTCAGCAGTAATACCTGAAGCGGGGGGACTTCATTATAAGGGCGGGTTCAACAATATCTAAATTGCAGGTATTTTGTATGTATTTGCACATATTTTGTTATTTTAAATCAGGTTTTTGGGGTCACATTCTGATTCTCGGGATTGGGGAAGTAGCGCAGACATGGCCCTCCTGATATTTGTCCCATTCGCCAAGGAGTGCAGTTCAGGTGTGTTGCGGCCTGCGGCAGCTAGGGGACTGGTCTCAGTGCTTAATCAACAAAGATGCAAGAAATTGCAACGAAACTACTTTAGGTTTCATTTTTTGAACGTCAGGAATAGCCAAATCGCCAAATGGCTATCGTTGCGAAATGTCTCATTGACCCCAATTTACTGGGCAAGAGTCCCGGGCTAGGGAGGTCATCTCCATGGTGGACAAATAGGCTATGTTTGACTAGCGAACCTAGCTTCCCAAAATGCAAAAATCTGCTCTCATTAAACTTAATGCCACATGATTTATCAGTTCTGCGACATTTCTTTTGCATGGCTGCAGTTAGCTCGCGTTGAGGCTACGCAGAATTCGGGGATGTGACGAGTGACCTGCGTTTTGTGCGCGCAATTCTGGGAGCCCAGCGGGGTTGCCAGAACGAACTTTAAAGGGAAAATGACAAAGGGGGTCCTCTGTGAGATATCTTGACAAAAGGGGGTCCTCTGTGAAAAAAAGGGGTCCTTTGTGGTGGTGCATTTGACAAAAGGGGGTCCTTTGACCGCCACCTGTACATTAGGCGCGTTGCCAGACCGGCGCCAGACCGGCACCGGTATGGTGCCAGACTGGACCACGGTCCTATTAGGAGCGACCCTTCTGGGAGGGGCAGGGAGCACACAACGGTCAGATCTGCATGAGGAAGTCGTAGCGATCAGAGCTGCGGGGGAGACCAAGTGGCGATCGGGGTTGCAAGGAGAACAAGCGGCGACCGGAGCTGCGGGGAGAGCAAGGAATGATCGGAGCTACCTAAGAGCATATCGGTGCCAGTATGGCGCGGTCTGTCGCTGGTCTAGCGCCAGCCTGGCGTCGGTCTGGCAACGTGCCTAATGTACAAGGGGGTGGTCAGAGGACCCCCTTTTGTCAAATGCATCCCCAAAGAGGATCCCCTTTAGTCACAGAGGACCCCCTTTTGTCAAGATATCTCACAAAGGACCCCCTTTGTCATTTTCCCAACTTTAAAAGTTGGCACCGTGATCTTGTCACGAAATTGACAAATTTGACAAAATTGGCAAAATTGACAAAATTGACAAAATTGACAAAATTGACAAAATTTACAAAATTGACAAAATTGACAAAATTGACAAAATTGACAAAATTTACAAAATTTACAAAATTTGGCACTCGTGACCCTATCATGCCCGGCAACAGTCGCAAGCGCACGGGTTGTGGGAGCTGCTGAGCGCAAAGAATCTCACAAGGCAGGAAAAGTGTGTCGGATGCCCATGGCCCATGTGACATGGGCCATGAAGGGCCAAACCAGAGGACGGTACATGACTTCGGAAACCTGATTGACAAGCGTACCGTAGAATGTTCAACCCTTCCGCATGGTAACGTAACGATTGGCCTTTTCGCGGAGATAGCTACAAAGTAAAGCTCTTTCAACAAGACTTGTGCAAAGCAACCTGAAACAAAATAACGCTCTCAAAAAAATGCGGAATAAAAGGCGCAATGTTAGAATTGCTTGATGAGGAAGGGTTGAATATACTAAACGCAAGAACCCAAGAAACCAGGCCTTATAATATAAATTATATATTATTACATAGTAGTCTGTGCCTATTGGCGCAGGTGGGGGTGGGAGAGTTGGGCAGCCACACTCCCCTGCAATATAATTTGCAAAACGCCGTGTTTTGACTTGCGAAGCACGACAATGTTTTATGGTTTGGGGTTCAAGTGTGATGCGCCTTCACGCAAGATTGAACATTCTCTGGCAATCACTCAAGTGCTTAATTGTGCAATACGTCAAAGAGCTGTTTCCGCTGGATGTCACATGACGAAGCATTGCCATTGGCTTCTGTCATGCGATGATGAGGGCAGTCGCCCTTCAGATGTGTTCATTTTCACAGGATCCAGAATCCTGCCCCATCAGCTGGCATTCCATGATGAATTGGCAAATGGGTGCTTGCTTTATTCCTAACCTCAGGCATGTTGAGCAAATGCACATCAATATTCTCAGAATCCAGGCTGTGTTGCATGCCATCCCACAAGTAGCGTATTGCCCTGCTCACAGATTCTGCTGCAGTGCTCCTGAGCTGGGCAAAAGCTAAAGGATGGACATGGCGATGCACCGAACAACGTAAACTGTGATATTGGCCTAGCCTCCTACGTTGCTCTGCATGCAACAGAAGGAACATTCCTTCTGTCATTTGGCAAGTGACAAGTTCCGTTCATCGAATTCTATTTGTTGCATTTGCCAAAACACATGACACAACAACACTTTTCAACTGGAGAGGGGGTGACGGGACAAGCTCTGTTGCATACAGTCCAGCAGACTGGATTTTCTGTACTGCCCCTCGCCCAAGATCCCTGTGAGGGCATAGGGATGCATAGGGATGAACGTTCTACGACAGGCAATGCGATCCAAATTAATTCCATTATCGCCTTCAAGGTGCAAAAGGGCTAAAAGCTGTCAAAGCATGGTATCATTTCCCAAGGCATTTAAATCAACAAACACAGCAGTGTAAAGTTCTAAGTCCTTTGACAGCAACTTGCTCCACAGAGTTTCAATTAATCATAATCAGACAGATGGACAATTCCCCTAGCTATTGTCACCTTGCTCACCAGTGAGTATCCATTTATGGGCTGTCCTCATTCATGTATTCTCTTACTCATCTATTTATCCACTACTCTCAAATCCACATCCACTGCTGGAATACTGTCCATTTCTCTCTTTCCCAAGAATTACCAGCATTCCAGTAAGCTTAGAAAGAATGTCAGTGTTGTGTCAGAAATCTACACCATCTGCTGCCAGTCCAGCAGATTCATTGTGCTGTGACGCCTCTCACCTGAGAACCTCCCACGTGCGATACCCTTAGAACGCGAATCCTCTTCTCCCACTCATTCTCCACCACCAAGTCGTGCAGCTTCTGTGCAAGGGGTGGCCCCATGGAGGCGCAACGCCTGTCCCTGGAGCCATGGCAGCATACCAAGATGTGGACTGCCTCGAGTTGCCGGCCATCGGGGAGGGGCGCACTAAGGTGCTCGTGTTCAGATAGCGAGCTTGGTGGGAAGAGGTGCACGGTGAGGGCATTTCTCAGCAGGCTGATTGGAAGCTTCTGGTACTCGATCGCTGGAGGGCAGGCCAGAGATAGAAGGAATTCAGATCTGTATGGGCGAATTGGTCAAATTCCAAGACCTGCATTTGTATTTTCACTCTGTTGTACCATACTTTGTCAAGCATTGAAGAACTGTGTTGTCTGGGGGTGGGTAAAGGGGAGAAGACGTACGTGAGAAAACCAAAAGACAAGAAAGCCAACAGACAGAAAGTGTGACAATGAGAACAGGTTAAGAAACACTGAAGATGGTTCCTTTGGGGACCAGCTGAATGAGCAAGGTGTTCATCAACTGATGGAAATCTGCATGCACTCTTCAGCAGGAATGAAATCAACAATGCGAGTTTGTTGGGTACACATCTATGTTGACATGATGAAGGCACTAACGTCCTCTGCTTTGTGGATTTGGATCACTGCATTGCGATCGACAAATACTTGTGCAGATGTTTTGATTGCCCTGAGTGGCCTCTGCTGGTATGTGAACCCAGGATGTTGGGTTTGGGGGAACAGGGGCCAGCGGGCCAATCCAAACTGCTGGTGAGTTGCACTGTGACGTTGCCCAATAGTGGGCCAGTAGTGCTGTGCTGGCTTCATAGCGATGCTGTAAAATTTGTGCTGTGGCTTGAAGCTGTTTGGCAGTTGGCTTTGGGGTCTTGGACACCCTCACTCCAAGAGCAGATGACTTTCAGAGCAAAAAACTGGGAAATGAGCAGCACGACTGCAGCACTTATTGGATGGCATGCTTATGTTTGGACAGAAATTGCTCAGCAAATCAACAACAACCCAATGGCAGGGGTCGCTTGGGTGGGAGAAAGAATTGTAAAGCATGAGGCTGAGATGTTTGGAGGGGGGAATGTGTCCATCATCGCATTGAGGGTGCAGTGGCAGTGTTTGCCACACAATACAAGTAGCAACAATGAGTTGTCTACAATTTTCTTGAGTGTGCACTGTCAAATTTCAATGCTGCTTTATCACATTTGCTGTCAAACGGCAACATCCCTAGCACCCTTAGAGTTGCAAGGCATCGATGTGCATCGATGCATGCGCTGGTCCCCTCCTCAGATCTGGCCCTGCCAGAACATGGTGTTGCATATGAGAGCATCCTCCGCAAGCTTTTCCTTCAATTTTGGGAGAATTCCCACTTGCCAAACTGGGAAGACTGGCGCAAAGGTGCATGTGTCGAGCCATTGTGCATCTCAGTGGCCGAAGTCTTGGCAAATCGACCCTGCTTAGAATGGTCACGATGGACTTACATGTGCTGCGTATACATAAATGAACATCCTGCATGACCTTACAGGCGAAGGCTTGCCTAGATTGGACCAATGCAATTAAGCAAAGAAGACCCTGGCTGGACAATATATGGACCCAAGCAGATAAAGAAGAACCCATCGGGGAAGATCATAGATACTCAATGGGCTGCAATAGGAATATCTGTTGTGGAGATGAACAGGGCACATCCCAGAGGGCCCTGTCCATCTTTGAGGAATGTTTTGCTTGACAGTGCTGTCATTACCTTCTGGAAATATGATCAGCTCGCACTCATTCCGCTCCAGTACCACACCATCCGCCTCCACAGGCTCGTACGCGGTTACCTCCAACAAACAATCAAATTTAATTTGGACTCTTCTGACAACGGGCTTACGTCAGTAGTGTGGGGCAACAAGTTCCCAGTGCACACATTGCTCTTCACAGATTTTAGGCGCCTGGATGGCATTCGTCAACTTTGAAGAATGCATTCGTTGCAGTCGCATCTTCAGTCACTCATGAAACAGAAAACAGCACGGTAAGCACGTAGCCTGTTAGCTCCCAATTTCTCCCAAGGAAACCATTCAAATCCCATTAATACAAAAAGAAAGGAATCAGTTGGTAAATAATGTGTTATGTATTCAGTCGATAAATCAAACAAACAAACAAGCGATCAATTAATCTTTCAATCAATCAACAATTGTTCTCAATCAAGGCAAGGCGGTGAGGGGCCCCATTCCACCCCATTACCTTGATCCCCGCCGCCACCTCGCGCCCGAACCTTGCGATCGCCACGAAGGCCGCTGTCACCGGCGCCAGCGCCTCCACCACCGGCGGCCACGCCCACCCGCCTTTCCCAAATCCCCTTCCCTCCTTCGATCGAATCCTCGCGTCAATCGGCACCCTCACTAGCACATGACTGTGGTACCGATCCACGCTGCCCGGCTCCGGCCTCACGACATCATTGGGCCCAGGAATCAGCGGCTTTGTGGCTTTTCGCCGTTCTTTTCCGTTTTTCGCCGATTCGCTTGAGCCATGGGCATTTGGGGGCGATTCCGGGCATTGGGGATTTGTGCGCGGGGATTGGGACTGGGTTTGGGCGCCGCAGGGACAGGGGAGGGTGTGGGCGAGGGCGGAGAGGGGCCGGGCGGCGTCCAGGGCCAACGCGCGGGACAGTGCGGCCGCCAGGCCTCTGCGGAGCATGACCGGGGCTGTTCCGGGGTGTTGGAGCTGAGTGGTTGGGCAGCCAACTTGTGCATTTTGCTCCGGAACTCGTACTGAGCTACTGAACTACTGAACTGCTCAGAGCCTGCCAAAAGACCACCAAACTGCTAAGAGCCTGTTAGTACTTCAGTAGTCTATTCAGCAGGTTCTGTTTAGTTCAGTAGTCTATGTCGTCTGTCAGTTGTTTAGTAGTCTGTTTTGACTCCTTTGTGGTTTGGCGGTCTCTTCAGCAGGCAGTATGCGCTGAACACCAGAACCAGACTACTCAGCAATGTTCCGGAGCAGGACCGGGGCTACGCCGGGCTGTGGGCCTTGGCAGCGGAGTTGTGCATGTTGCGGAACTTCTGGTCACTTGGGGAGTGTAGTAGTCTGTGCAGCAGCCTCTTCGTGGTTGAGTGGTGCATTTTGTGATCTCACCATTTGGACTTGGCGCGGATGGTAGCGAGCCAGTGGATGGACCGAACCGTTGGGACGCGGCCAGCAGTGCTGATTCAGCGCAGCAATTTTCAAGCTCAGTGGCGGACACGGACGGACGCCACTGGTACCGTCCGCAATATTGCGGATCGTCAGGAATCCATCCGCAAATTTAGAGACGGATTTCCGTGGACAAATGACAGAAAAATGTCCGCAAATTCGTGGACGGACAGTCCGCCCCCTGAATGCGTGGACGGATCAGAGACGGATGAATTTTGCCCCATGAGTCAGCTCGCGGATGGTCCGTCTGTCTGCAAGCCACGGAGACCCCGGGTGTGCGATCAGCTTGGCAGCCACACCCGGCTTTGACAGCCTCAAGCACGAGGTGGTCCCCGAAGAATTACAAGCGGGAACGCTGTACCCTCCAGCTTGTACAAATCTCATTTACAACCGCCCAGGACCAAGAAACAAAAAACTGACCAGCAGAAACCCACGGCAGAAGGTGGTTCGCCCTGCAAGGAATGGTGCAGAGCAACGAGATCACAGCGGCAAATGGCGCCCAGATCGCACTGCGCCACGTACAGTGGCACCCGGCCCGTGGGAACGTCAAATGGTTGAAAATAACGCTCCCCGCGGCGCCAGGCGGCGCCAGACCAGATCCTGCTGATTAAATTTGACCAGCAATGTCGCTAATTCCCGAACAAGGGGCAGAACAACCCCACCAACAATTTGAAAATGACCTAACTGCGCCTGACGGCATTTTGAACCCAACGCCAACCCCCCAAGTTTCTCTTCACGCCTCACCCTTCTGGCACCGTCTTGTAAGAAACATGGCAAGCTCTTGCCAAGCTTGAACTTCAACGTGCGCCTTTGTAGTTTTCCTTGCAGACAGCTGTGCTTGATGATGCAGCTCTTCACTGAAAACGCTCTCCATGATGCAATGCAGCCCTTCCGCAATCTGCAGACACTTCACAGAAGCCTCTCTACTGACTCTTGACCACAGCTCGATGCCTGCATTAGATAGAAATCGTAAGGGGAGCACGTGCCTTGAGGTGCACAGCCGGTAGCGCCCAGTCTCCAATACGCCAGCTAACTGCTCGATTGCTATGAACAAGATTACATTCGGCAACATCGTTACACAGCAAAATGGCAATGCACTTTATCTCAGCGCGGATGCGGACGGCAAAAGGCAAGGCACCGAAACAGGCTTGAGACAAGGCACCGAAATCTTTATCAGGTGGCTACCTTGGAGATGACCAGTGGCTGAAATCGCCTGGTTTAATGTTCTGGATGTGCTCAAGAAAGCTCCGCACAGTTGGATGCTTAAGCTCACTGAATTCCACGTCTGATAGCCTCTTTTGCACGCATATGATGTCGCCGCACACGAGCTGGCTCTGCGCAACACAAACCCGGAAGATGTTGTTCCAGAAGCCAGGAATAATGTGAAATAGGGTGCACGCCATGGGGCAAAAGACGGCGCCGGTTTGCGCATGCAAGAGCAAACTCTCAGGAGACATGAAATCTGATAGCAACACATTGTGAGCACATCCTTCACTGCTGAACACGATTCGAGGAACAAGGCACAGCTTTGGGGTCTGCGAAGTGAAGTCTCCTTCACCGCCACACAGCCGTGACAAACCTAACATTCCATTCCAACGGCCACCTGAGGCCCGGGCAACAATGGTGGGCATCGATCGCCACATAACCACGAAGCCAGCCTGAATGGAAATTCTTCAGCAATCTCAAGCAGCACATGCTGGTCCACGCCTTTCGTGGCCATATCCTTCACCCGCGCGCTGTGATGCAAGAACACAGCATGCACATCTCCTTCGCCATTACGCAGCCTCACCATTTCCGGAGTGAAGTCTGCAGGAAGATACCTGGAAGGCACAGATGGGTTGAACCTAATTTCCTCACACGCTAAGATCTCAGTTCCCTCAGGGAAATCCACCAACTTGCCCACCGTCTGGAAGATGCTGGCAAAGGATTCTGATTTCCGCACGTGCATGTGAGTGGCGTAGGATAGCTGCCTCTTGCGCGGGTCGTACAGCTTGAAAAATAGCAGCACAGAGTCCAGGGGGATGCCAAACAGAGGTCTAGTTGGGGTCTCCGGCATCTCAAGATACAACTTAATGGTCATGATAGCATTCTTTCCAAGGCTGGGCGAGTATGCGCTGTCTGTGTACTCTCTGAGGTCCAGGACATCGTCGAGTTTGCCGTCAAAGGGAAGCCGCGAGTGGGGGCGCAAGGTACCGTTGGCCCGCCGCTTCCACACCCAGAAGCATTGCGGCCTCGGCTCCACACCAAAGTCTTCAGCGACCTGTGCAACACATGGGACACGTTACAACACCAAAAGTGGGACGTATGAGGCGATCAATCGATCAAGTCCCCCATAGTGTCAAGCTTGCACATCAAGCGCAGAGATGCCCAAAGTATTTATCAGAAAGCATCAGGCCCCAGGAGCGCCTCAGCACAACGGTGTTGCAGGCACTTGGGACGTTGGGAAGAGGTGGACCAGCAAGCGCTGTGGACCAACAATTCCAGGGATTAGAAGAGTGCTGTTGCGTGTGAATTTGTGGTTCAATCCTCTTTGGATTGTGTCACGCTGACGCTTAGGAACTTGGAGTGAGTTAAACAGCGCATCGAAATACGGTTCCTGCAATATAAATGCCCAAATTGCTGTTGTTCCTTTCCTTGACGAACACATTTGTGCTCGGTGCTGTATGCATCTCTGCAGAGACAGCAGAACATATGAACAATGTCCCTAAGCTTGAGATATCATGGGGGTGTTCTTTCAGCATTGTGAGGCCCTTGCTGACATCCAGCAAAACAGTTTCTGCCCAGCATTTGTCAGCATTTCCAAGCATTCTTGATGATATAAACTCAGCAGAGGCGCATGCCATGGCCACCATGCAAGTTTCATGTTTCTGTTATGGATACACCAAATTCTATCTCAAAGGGTGCTAAGTTGTCGAATTTGTAAATCCACACATTTTAGATCCACCAAGCAATGACAAACAGTTGCGCCCCCCTGACTTTGGCGACGTCTGGCATTGCTCACATCAAACGCTTTTGTACCCATTTTAAGTCCTTCCTTGCCGCTTGACTCGCCACATGCGACAAGCAACATGTCCACATCGTACTGTGGCAAACAACACACCAATCTGCAAGCACTAGCACAAAAAGGACCAAATAAACTTCTGCGAAAACACATAAAACACATTTCGTCAAAATTGTGCGTGCTAAGAACACAAAAAGAGCACAAACCCGTCAACTTTGTACGCGTTTGAGCACGTGTTGTTTGGAGCTTTTTTTTTCCTAGTGAAAGAGCGCTGAAATTCACCTTCTGTCGAAATGCTTTAAACGTCGTCCTTTTGTGTATCCTGTAGCCCTTGACCTGATCGAAATTGACCAAGCCAAAGTATTGCATGCTCCCGATCTGCTTCTGGAAGTCCCTGTCACAAGCCACCTTGATCATAACATACAAGGGGGCCTTCTCCTTCTCGCTTTGCATCCTGATCTTCTCCAGCCGTTCAGCCTTCAATGACACACACAAACTTTGCTGCTGGCTTGCCGCATTTCATCGAAAGATGTTGTGACCACCCCAGCAGCAATTGGCACCTGTGCCCCACACGCAGTGCGCAGCGCCACTGGCACCTCTGGTACAGGAAGTCTTTCCCACCCCTAAACCACCACTCCATGCAAAACCCAGCTTGAGCATTTCAACTGCCTAGTCAGCCATTCACTTGCCGATTACAATGCACAGGAACACATTGAAGGTTGCATACTTGCAGTGTTGCCAAATGCCAAATCTCGCTTGTGATATAGGCGTTTCTGGCAGCCATCACAACGAGGTGGCTGCACGTGCAGGAAACCTAGTTTTCGAAGCTCGCCTCAGGTCAGTTTCATATCGGCATTTAGCGAGAGCAGAGTGTTAGAGGCAGGGCGCAAACACACATAACATTTACAAGAGTAGCCGGCATTGACTCAAGTTTCACCTCAAAGCGAGCCCGAACGGTTTCCGCAATTTCTTCCTTTCTGCAGGAACAGCAAATGGCGTCCCATTCAGACTGTCTTATGTACACCAGCATGTAGGCGGTGGACTGTTTGGCATGCATTTGGCATGCTGTGCTGTGGGTAGTCAGTTCTGGCTGCTCAGTCTCGTCATCACCACCTGAGTGATGCCAAAGATTATCTTACAGGCGGGAAAGGAGCATGTCACTTAATGGGCACCCCTCACAGGCACGACGCCTCTTTGCAGTGTAAAAACGCTAAGTGCAGAAAGAGTAGCATATAATGTACATACATGGTATACCTGCTTTATGCCTGCCGACACATCCCCGCCTATTGATGCTGCTCCATCCCCATCTATGTGCAAGTGATGCTTTTCACATCAGTAAGGCATCCCCCTTGAAAGTATCCCCAAAACCCCAACTTCGCTCACAGCAACACAAACGCCACTGCAAAAAAGCAAATTTCTGGACCAGTGGCACAGCGCACTGCGGCTCATCAACAAGACACATTACTGGAACCATTCAGGCGACGAGATTCACAGTTATGTGGCCACAGTTGGAGATATGGGACCACTGGCGTAAGCGACTGAGATATACGATTTTAAGGCGATGATGATCCATATAATGGCACTCTAACGAATAGAACAGGGCTGCAGCACCACATTACCCTTGTCTGCTCACCAAACTGGTCCTGTATCGCCCCCTTCTCAGTCTCTTCGCGAACTGTCTCATCATCAAACTTGTACCATCTGTCAGCAGGCCGAATGTACGCAAAGTAATGGCCTCCATGGGGCCCACCGCTGTGCGCAAGCACACTGTGCAGCTTGTACAGGTTACGCACGCTCCGATCAGAGTGCTCTGTCAAGTATCTTCTGTTTTCGACGTCCAAGTCCAGGGTAGGGTAAAACTCGTAGTGATCATTTATCTGTCAGAGGAGGCTAGAGAGCATCGCTTCAGTGCAACAGATGGCCAACAACTGGGCCTTGGGATGAGCCAACGAATGCATCAAATGCAGCGACTGAATGAGCGGCAGAAGCAGCTGGCCAAGTGAGTCCTCAACATGATAAAATTCTGTTAGCACAACCGAATCAACAGAACAGATGTCTCTTTAAGGGCGGTGGGTAAGAGTTTTCAAGAAGCGAACAGGAAACAGGTCCTACACGAGCCCTTTCCCCCTTCACCCCTTCCTCCCCTCCCCTCGAAATGAGCGGCATGGGTGAAGAAATTCACCTTGATCTGCATGTCCCGTTGAAAGTCATAGTCGGACCGCTTCAGGTGCAGCTGGAGCACCGGCGGAAAGCAATCAAATTTGACATGTTTCCTAGCATCCTGTGAAAGCAAGCAAACAGCAGTCAGCCCACCAGCAGTCCACTCGCTGTGGCGTCGACAGTACGACACTTGGATAATGCGAAATCAAGCCGGTGCTGTCAAGGGAAGTGATTGGCATACCGCTATGTGCGAGTTAAAGATGGACGAGATACGGTATGTGCGAATTACTGACACTGAGGGTACGATATCCTGCCGTTTATGGCCCGAACCCCTGTCCAACTTTGGGCAAGCCAATCTTTGACAATGCATGGTCCAAACGGAAAAATTAATGATGCTGCTCCATCAACGTGAATATCTCCATGCTGGCAGCAGCAGGAAGGCTACAGTGGCCACGATCACACTGCAGTAGTTGACTGATTGATGCTTTGAGGCCGCTTGGTTGGGTGCATTTGTTGATGTAACTCAGTCGTCGTTGTGGCTTGCCATATGATCGGTGTGAACTACATCGCGCTGCACTTTCTTGTGGAGCGGTGCAAAGCCCATTCACTTCATGTGAGGAAAGGGGTAGAAGCTGGGCTTCCAAATTCAACGCAACATACTGGGTTGGAAAAACAGCAACGCATTCCCCACGCGTGTGAAGCAGCATTCGAAATAAACCAACAATTCAGCAACAGAAAAAAGTAGACTCACTACGAGACCGTGGCCTTCAGCCTGGTATTTGTTCTGACCATCTAACCTCTCTTCCTTACAGAACTTATCCAGTGACGCATAGATGTCGTTGCATCCCTTAACCTCCAGCTGAATCGTCATGAACGATTGTTGCATGGTGGACTTGAAATCCACGTCAATGCAGGTAATGTGGCTGGAATAGCGCCCAACAAAAAGGTACTGTATCGCCTCCTCAACTTTGGTACCCTGGCAACAAATGCAGTCTTTCTCAATTTAACGACAATAACAACATTAATTTCATAGGCATCACTCCCACAACAACGGTTAGTGACTTATCACCGTCAAGCAGACACTGGCAGACATGGACAACGTATGGCGCTGCCAGTTGCGCTCAGCGTCAGTGTTTCGTCCCATTCTGAACAGAAGAATCTATTCATAAGATTTTTGCCATGAGGCTGCCAGCTAGGATTAACCACTGCACAACATGGCATTGACATGGGCATGCATGAATGTTGATCCTATCGTTATCAGAGACAGCAGCAATGGTGGCCCCACGTTTTCTAAGGCAGTCGCCAAATAATAATCATAGATGAGTCTGCAATAGAGAATGCTGCTCTAGGGGTCCCAGTTGTGGCCGAAGAACGGCCTAAATGACATTCCCATGCTGCCCACCCACCCTCATTTTCTCTTCCAGCTTCTCAAACAGCATGGTCCCAATCTCTTGAACATCGCGCTGCATGGATGTCTCATATGTGCTCCAGCCAAACGATTTTGTCAACGCCTTCGTTGACACGCTTGTGGGGCTGCGCTGGAGCTGCACACAAACCCATAGGAAGAGATGAATGAGCACAGCAAGAAGATCAATATTCTGATATTCCCACAATGTAGAGTGTTACTGCTGAGCTATTACCTTACTTCATAAACTGAGAAGTGTGCAAGGGCTCCAAGCAAGGGAACTTCGCATGGGTTGAAGAACATGCTGCATGGAGTAACACCCAGGAAATCGTGGCCGCAAGAAGAATAAACCCAGTCTGCAAGCTATTTTAGGTAAGGCAAAAACAGCAGCTGAACCCCACCCTCATCGGTCTCCAATGTAAATCAGCTTTGACTCCGTTTGTTTTCAGATGACCAAGGATCGTACTTGCACGACATGGAGATGGTAGGGACCCCTGCGTCTGCCCAAGTCTGGTGAAATGCAGGCAGACAGACACCAGCACTGATGAGGAAATCCACAGACCACAGTGAAGAGCCACACCTTGAAGAACAAGCTCTGAAGGGCAAGTGGCAAGCTGCATTCAGGCTTATCAGTCTCCAGAGTCGGCATGTGATAGACTGCCTGCAGGCGGACAGCATTTGACGATCAGCTGGAGCACAACAAGTCGATCACAGCTCAGAAGCTCAGCCATCAGTCAAGTTTGTTTTTTGACATGTCAACGACCAAGGTCACAGCACCATTGCAACAAGTAAAGTGCTGAGATAGAAAACCTTAGCTCAGCAAAGTGTTCATCTCCTGCTATGGGCGTGACAGGAGCATGCGAATGCCAATCTTTTTCCTTCTTATCCTACTGAGGCAGGTTTCTTTTTCAGTAGAGAGACAAATTTCAGCAGCTGCTGCAAGCCCCATAGCGAAGCCCACCTTTCTGAAGTATGGCAGGTGATACAAACACTGAAGCAGGGAGTTCATGCAGCACGTGGTCCCCTGATTCTTGAGGCCGACGTAACCTGTCTGCTTTTTGGATGTGTGCATGTACCGCTTGTCCCTCTGCACAGTGATCTTGACCTTCAGGACAAGTGTGTCCCTGATAAGAAAACCCTTCTGTGGGTTGTTTACCTCGCTCAAGGTCATGAATTGGATGAAGCCCCAGTCTTTTGCCTGACTAGTGAAGGTATGCCAGGCCGCTGCTCACAGACAGCACAATTGTTTTCTATCCGCAACAGAGGCCCAGGGACTGCAAATACCATTGCGCTTCCCACAGCAGGTAACAGGCATGCTCCAGTCCACTGATTTCAAGCCATCGATCTGCACAATGAGATGGGCACCGCTTTGTCACTTCAAAGGGAATTTTATTGGGTCTCAGTACTATGAAACGGGGATGGGTAGGTTCGGAATGAGTAATAGAGGCAACGAACACCAGGCTTTTTGCTCAGCAAGAATGTTGTACTTTGAACATGCACTTGTACACAAGATTGCAACACTGCAGTGCCATCCCGCTGAATGAAGATACAAAGACAGACGCAGATTCCAACAACAGCAACCTCGTGCAATGGTGGCAGCAGACCAGACCCTCATCATCAAGAAATAACAGAAATATCAGATGCACGAGCCTAGCTTGCAGTGCCTGTGGACCACCAAACATACATAGCTAGACCAAGGCAAGAAAGACTGGAGGCAACGTTCCTGGACACCCACCTCGTTTGTATGTCTGCTTGGGGTAGCGTTGGTTCTCCACCGCAAACTCAAAATGGGCTCTTGGAAACATGTGGGGGGGGGTGTACTCGACTTCTGGAAATTCCAGGTATAAGGAAATGTGGTCAAGCTTCTGAGCAGTGTTGTTTCCCCTTGGATAGATTAGGAGCCGCCTGCAGAGGGCCACTGGGCGGGTTCAAGCCGCTCAAATTATGCGCTTCAGCATGCCCCAGCCCTTCTGGTCAAAAAGGCTATTACTGGTACCACAGGGGAGAGCGTTGCGTACCATTGGTGCTCACAGGACAAAAACAGGTCCTCTGCATTGGGCTCCTGTCTAGAGCAAGACAGCCCAAGGCTCTTGCCACATTGGTGGCCAAACATTGGAGCCTCCGATAGGAGTACCAAAGCGCTCAAACATGCAAACACACAACAGGGGCGGGCGCGAATCAATCGCCGTGAGCGCCTTGCCGCCTGCGGTATCTTTCATCCTCGCCTGGACTCACCATAAATACGGGCCGATCTCGAACGGCTCGGAGTACAACTTCCTGTCCTTCCTGTGCAACACGTGCCGGATGCACCACTGTGGACACGCGGTGGAGGCGAGATCCCGACTTAGAAATCCGCAGCCGAACGGTGGGAATTCGGGACAGCGCCACGCAGGGCAGGGAAACGCACCGTGTACTCTCCAGCCCAATCGGATGTAGTCGTAAGCCGGGAGGAGGAAGCCCCACTGTCCCTGGCGTCCTCCGCGCCTGGCGCCCTCAAGCGTCAGAATGCAGTCAACAACTGGGGCAGAATCCTTCAGCGTCGCAGCCCTGTAGCCCGTGGCGCCGGTTGGGGAACTGGGAGCCACGCCGATACGGCCGACGGCCCCAGCGACAACCCCACGCCCCTTGCGGCACCCCCTATGGTGCTGACGCACCACCACCCTCCCAACACCTCCCTGCGACGTCTCAGCAGATTGCCCCGGCCTTTCCTCGGCAAACCGGGCTGGAGTAGGGGCACCCCCTCCCAACAGAACAGAACAGGGCCTGCTGGCTTGCATCCACAGATTCTACGCAGCACTGGATATCTGGTTTGTGCCGAGGGACTCCGCGCTTAGGACTGACATCGGCAACACTGGCCACGCAACTCACCTGCCGTTGGCCCCCACCAACGCCAACATGCCATGGCTTCGGCCCCGCCGCTCACCAGCGGGCCGTTGTGCCTGCTGTCCTCCTCCCGTGTCAGCTTGCTCACCCGGGGAGCAGCGACGCGAATGCTGCAGATCCCCATTCGCGGGGCTTTGGGGAGGGGTCCGTGGTGGGACAGTCCGTCGTGGAGAGCAGCTATCAGGAGCCGAAGGTGGTGGTGGTGTTGTGGTGGCGGGTGCGATGGCAGCTTCCCCTTGAGGTACCCGGCAGGGTACCTTGTTGATCGTTTCGGAGGTTGATGCTGTGCGAACCAGCTGCACCAAATGCGCCGTGACCAGGCCATACGCGAGACACAAACCGCCAGGATATACCAGCCCCTCTGTCTTTTCCGTGCAGATCCCTTGGTCTTCCGCTGACAAGGCCAACGCCGGTCAATGCGTTAGTGGGTTTTAGGGTTTAGGGCTTAGGTTCGCTTGTTTTAGTTTTTTAGCGTTTAGGTTTTAGGGTTTTAGGGTGGCCGGAAACCTGATCAGATCCACATAAACAGACAGAGCGACTGATCTCATGCCCAAAGTTCCAATGCGACCAAAACGCGTGGCGTCTGCCTGAAGTTGGCGCGCAAGATGGTGGCTGTGTGTTCAAAGATCCCAGCTCTGATGTCAACACCTCCGCACCGATTCACACATTAAAAATTTTTTTGGCACATCGACACACCATTTCGGCCTACCCCCCTTTTCCAGATCCCCCAGGAAAATGCCGGTCGCCTTGTTGCAGAGACCCCCACACTGAACAGAACATACACGTCGCCGAAGGGGTCTGAAATGCACGACATGCACTGCAAGCAAGATCTCAATCTGGCTGGCCCAAGTCCCTTTACAAGAAGGATTATCCTGGGCGTCGGATGGGGCTGACCCAGTGGGGTGGTTTTGAAACCAGAAATATCTCAGCATGCAAAGTTGTGAGACCTAAATGTGGGCGCCAGGTTTGGCCCTGACTGTGCATGAGGGACACACTCCAATACACTTGCAGGGTCCAGCAAGGAACAATGCGGGCTGCAGTACAACCATATGGCATGCACGTAGTGGCGCAGGCCCAGATGAGCATTGACTCCGTATCTATAAATGAACCCATATCTGAAGTAGTGGTACGGTAGGGGTCTCTATATTGCGCCCCCTGTGGCGATTCTCTAAGTACCCCGCCAGAACCGGACAATCTGTCGTTAATGATACATTATTATCCTGATTGTGATGATTTATAAGCGCGGGGTGCTTGATAATTGATTGTGTAGAATATGAGAGGTGCCCTGACCGTGCGGAGGCGAAGTGACAGTCTAGATGATGGGTAATGGCTTTGTATGGACGAGCCGCGAGTGCTACTGATGCTGAGCACCCCTATGAGAATGTGCTGGAGGCCTTGATGACAGAAGATGACCTTTTATAGGAGTATGTTGAGGGCCCGATGATGCGCATCCCACACGGCTGCTGGCAAACGCCAGGTGGACGGGTTGGACCATGGGAGATGCTACGGATGAGTGGAAGACATGCCCAACCCTTGGAGATGAAGCTGATGACTTTGGATATGTGCCACACCGCTGGAAACATCCCGGAGCAACGAGTGGACCCACCAGGCTTTCCATGGGAGCGCCGAAGGCGGGTTTCTGCGTACTTAGGAAGGCGAAGTATGGTGGGTGTCGCACCCGTAAGAGTTCTGGTACCTTAAGGTGGCCGACTACTGCGGGTGCCGCACCATGTGCTGTGCCGCAGCATGGGAAGTCAGCGGATGATGCCGTGGCTAGGGTGATGGGTGTGGTAGCATTCTGAGCGTTGTGACTCTAAGGGATGAAGGCGGTACAAACGGTCCGGTTGGGTAACTCGAGCCAGTACTTTAATGGGCGATACCCGTATTTTGGGGCTCGGGGTACGCACCCGGCGGCTTAGGAAGGGTTCGTAGCCCAGGGCATCACGAGATAGTACATAGACCGGGACATTCTGTATGTTAAGGCACGGGTGGCGTACCCAAGGGCGAGGTACAGGGGTACCGTGTACGGATTTGACGTGACCTTTCATAGGTGCATGGTAACGGTGCCGCACCGAGCGGCTTGGACTATATATGGAGAGCCGACTTTGCTTGCAACGAACGCGAACCTTGTGGGCCCACCTCGCTGTTCCTTGTGTGTCTTTCAGGGATTGTGCCCCACTGAATGGTCAACATGCTGCGCTGCCAGACGCCCATTGCGGGTGCACTTCGCCGTCGAGTTCAGCTCGGACGGGCGAGCATCTATTTTTGTGCGTGACCGGTTCATTGCCGGAAGATTCGCCATTTGGACACCATTTCTGCGGTGGTTCGAGGCTCGACGCCACACACCCCATGACATGCGCCAATAGAAAGTAACCTGTTTGCGATGCCAATTGCGACGCCATTTGACACAAATTGATGCCATCACAACCACTTTTATGCCATCGCAATCATTGTCACGGCATCATTTTGTGTCAAAATAGCATCGCAGTTGGCATCACAGACATGCTGTTTTCTACCAATGATGGCCAAAAGTGGGGTGCTAAGATGGGTGCTATTGGGGGCCAGGGGTGCCGTTGTGTTAAGGGGGGTACACTAAGCAGCTGTCGTAAAGGGTACCCTGGTTGCCAGTGTATGGGTTACCCTAAAGCTGCCAGGGTAGGGGGCACCATGGCCGCCCGTGTTAGGGGTAACCTGGTTGAGAGTGTAGGGGGTACCCTGACCGCCGGTGTAGGGGGTACACTACAACCAGCCCACCGGGCCCATACTGGCTTTTGGTGCCAGCGACTAGTCGCAGCGCCGAAGCCGCGGGCGCTGGGGCCTGTTGCAATGAAATTAAGCACTACGGGAACGGCAACAAGCCTTTCAGGGGTCCGCTAAAACGGACACCCCCGTACTAGTTTGAGGTCCCATTGCACAACAAATCTGCATAAAGTACTACATAAATGGTGACAAGCCCAAACCGGGGGCGCTATATAGAGACCCCGACTGTACACGTATCGGAAGTACTGGTCGAATGTATTGTGGCAAGTGTCTAAAGTACCGGCAGAGGCTGGTCGCCTGGAGTGGGTGGCAATAGGCCAGACGGTTCTTAGTAACTCGTGTAAAAGTACGTCATCCAGACGTAAATAGAGCCGCACACGTAAAGACAGTACATAGAGACTTAGGAAGTCCAGGGAGTGGTGCCCAGACGCATAAGAATGGGCAAGAACGAACTTTGTTCGATGACGTCATTGCCCTTACCGAGGGCACGTTGTGTTGCGGACGCTCGAGGTGGGCCAGGACTGATCATTGTACGTGACTTCATCATGTTTCCCGGGTGTCTCAACGTGCAAAAATACGTGAATGCACGTGTACAAATATCCTTTTCTCTATGTTTTTGCGTTTTTACACATGAAAACGTCAATGAAAAAAGCCATCGAGGCAATTTTCAAGCTCAGTCGTGGACATAGACGGACGCCAACAATACCATCCACGAGTTTGCGGGTCCCAACAAAATTCATTTGTAAATTTTTAGGGGGATTTTTGTGGATAAATGACAGAAAAAAGTCCACCAATTCGTGAAAGGACAGTGCGTCCATGAATCATGGACGGATCCAGACAGATGAACTCTGCCCACCAGATCAGCTCGTGGGTGGCCCGTCTCTCTCCGAGCCGCCAAGGCCCTAGTTGTGCGATCAGATGAGTAGCCACACCCGGCTTTGACTTGACAACCTTATGCAAGGTGGTGCCCTGTAACTCATAAGTGAGAATGTTGCACACATCCGACTTGTGTGCAAATCTCATGCACAACAGCGCAAGCGCAAGAAATATGGTAACATCGCAAACCATCACTTTGCAAACATTTGCAGCAACAGACTCCTACACAGCCATTACCTTCTAGACAGTGACCAGCAGGATCTCATGGGAGCAAAATGAGTAACCTGGCACGAAATGTTGCAGCGCAGCAAGGTCATGGGGGCAAACGGCGCGCAGGTCACACCGCACGGCGTACAGTGGCATCTGGCTCACGGAAACGGCAAATGGTCAAATGGAAACACTCCCGTGACTCCCGGCGGCGCCAGAACGGATCTTGCTGATCAAATTTGACCAACAATGTCGCTAGCAGATAAAAGGACCAAATAACACATTTAGCGAACACATTTATATGCACTTCATCAGTGTTACGAACGCTGAAATCACGGAAATAACCCAAACCCGTAAAGCTTGTACACGTATGAACACGTGTTATTTGGCCCTGTTTTTCCTAGTGTGTCGCTAGTATCCAAAAAAACAGCAGAGCAACTCCGCAAACGATTTAACCATGGTTTAGCTGCGCCTGAAGGCATTTCCCCCCAACGCCCAATCCTAGCTTTGTATCCACGCCTCACTCTTCCGACATCGTCTTCTAAGAAACGAAACAAGATCTACCAGAGCTTCAACCTCAACGTGCGCCTTGGTAGTGTGTAAGGAAAAAAAAACAGCAGTGCTCATTGATGCAACTCTTGGCTCAAAGCGCTCTCCATGATGCAATGAAGCACTTCCTCGAAATTCTTTGTGCTGACTCTTGAACCCAGCCCAATGACTGCATTAGATACAAATCACGAGGTCAGCACGTCCCTTGAGGTCCACTGTCGGTAGCGCTCATCTCCAATGCGCCCGCTCGCTACCCGATTGCTGCGAACGAGATTACACTCAGCAACATCTCTACAGAGAAAAGCATGGCAATTTCCTTCATCTCAAGGGATCAAAAGCCATCACGATTGAGAAAGGCACTGACACCTTTGTTGAGAAGGCTACCTTGGGGGATGGTCAGTGGCCTGAAGTTGACTCAACGATGTTGCAGATGCTCTCCAGGAAGCCTCGCACAGTCGGAAGCTCGAGCTCATGGGCTTCCACGTCTGTTAGCCTCTTTTGCACGCATATGACGTCGCCGCATATGAGCTGGCTCTGGGAACCACAAAGCCAGACGATGATTGCTCCAGAAGAAAGATTAGTGTGAAGTAGAGTGTGTATTACGGGGCAGAAGACCGCAGCGGGATATCTTTCGGGAGACATGAAATCTGATGGCAACCCATTTTCTGCACATTCTTCATTGCTGAACACGACTCAAGGAACAACTCAAAGCTTAAGGCCTAAGGACCGAAGCCCCAGTCGCCCAATCCACAGTCTTGGCAGCCCTTCCACCCGCAGCAGTTCCCTCACTTGCATCAAAAAGGCCACCTGAGGCCCGGGCACTAAATTTAGGAGTCAGTCGCCGCAGAGCCAGGAAATGAAACCGACTGTTGGAAAAATTCTCCAGCATTCCCAAGCACCACATGCTGTTTCACATCTTCCCCAGCCATGTCTTTCATTTGCATGCTGTCGGGCAAACATGCACGTGCACATATTCTTTTGGCAGTATGCAGCCTCACCTTTTCTGGCGTGGAGTCTGCGGGGAGGTCCTCGCACAGCACCTCTGGCTCGAAACTAACTTCCTCACACCCCACAATTTCAGTTCCCTCCGTAAACCCCGCCAATTCCCCCACTGTCTTGAAGATCTTTGAGAAGGGTTCTGCCTTGTGCACGTGCCTGTGTGCGACATAGGACAGGTGCCTCTTGTGCGGATCGTACAGCTTAAAAAACAGCAGGACGGTGTCCGGGGGGATGTCAAACATTGGCCTGGTGGGGCTTTCTGGCACCTCAAGGTACAGCGCGATGGCCATGAGCGTGGCCTGTTCAAGGTTGGGCGAGTGCAAGTTGTCCTTGTAGTTTCTAAGGTCCAGGACATCGTCGATTTTGCCGCCTGAAGGGAGTGGCGAGTCGGGGCGGACAGTGCCACTGTGCCGCTGCTTCCACACCCAGAAGCGTTGCCAGCTTGGCTGGACACCAAAGTCTTCAGCGACCTGTGCAGCACATGGGAAGCTTTGCAACAAAAGTTGGGTGCATGAGGAGACCAATCAATTAACGCTCCGATCATGTCAAGTTTGAGCATCGACGGCCATGACACCCAGGGCACTGAGACTGAAGACAATACGCCTCAGGTGCAGAATCCAAACAACAGAATTGCAGGCCCTTTAGGTGTTGGCCCAACGTGCAACAATATTCGAAAAATCAAAAGACTGCCGTGGTGTGCGAATTTGTGTGCCAATCCCCCCTGGGCTGTTTCTGGCGGACGGTTGGGAACCCAAAGTGGGATAAACAGCACATCAAAATTGAGTCCCTGGGACACAAGTTTCAAATTGAGGTTGTTTCCCTTCTTGACAAAGGCATCTTGTGCAGCGATGCTCTGTACATCTCTGACGGGACAACATCTGAATATTGTTCCTGGGCTTGCTATGGCATTGGGGTGTTCGCTTTGCCCTGTACTGTGAGGTACTTGTTGATTTCCAGTAAACCAGACGCTGTCTGGTGATCTCAAATCATCGGAGGCGCATGCCGTGACCACCGCGCTGCTGTCGCGATGCTGCAATGGACACATTATCTCCATCCCAAGAGCTGCTAAGTTGCCAAATTTGCAAATCCACACAGTCCATATTTACCCAAGCATGACGCACTGTTGCACCGACCTGACTTTGGCGATGTTAGCCATTGCTCACAGCCAAACGCGTTTGTAGCTACAGCACGTTCAGTGCCTGAACGCCGCTTGACTTGCCACACGCGACAAGCAACATTACCGCATCCATTTTGGCAACGTACAGTCGCCCAGCAACCCATCTACAGAGTGATGAAGCTCACCTTCTGTTGAAATTCCTTAAACACGGTCTTCTTGTGTATCCTGTAGCTCTTGACCTGATTTAGGTTGACCAAGTCAAAGTATTGAGAGCTACCAATTTGTTTCTGGAAGTCCCTGTCACAAGCCACTTTGATCACAACGTACAAATGAGCCGTCTCCTTCTCCCGTTGTCTCCTCACTTGCTCCAGCTGTTCAACCTTCAATGCCACACACAAAAACTATGCTGCTGACTAAATATTCCGCCGCCATAACGAGGGCAATTTGGTAGATGTGTTCCACACGCACTGACACAGAATTGACTGTCCATGTTGCCACTGCTACAGGAAAACTCTCCCACACTCAAAGCACGATTCCATACCTACTCAACCTGAGCATTTTAACTGCCTAATAAGCCACTCACTTGCCAATTGCAAGGAACACAAACATGCAAGTTTTGCATGCTCGCAGTGTTCTGCCAAATATTGGGCTCCTCTGAAGGCCAGGTTTCATTCAGAAATTAATGACACCAGAATGTCAGGAGCTGAATGCAAACGCTCATCACATCTTCAATATTAGCCAGCACTGACTCAAGCCTCACCTCCAAGCGATTCCGAATGTGTTCCGCGATGTCTTCCTTTTCGCATGGACAGAAAATGGTGTCCCAGTCAGACTCCCTTATGTACACAAGCATGTAAGCAGTGGACTGCTTGGCATCACCACCTGAGTGGCATCAAATATTGTCTTTTATAGGCAGGACAGAAGCACGCCACGCAAGGGCCACACCTCACAGGGACGACACTTCCTTGCACCGCCAAACCCCAAAGTGCAGCAAGGATAGCATACCTGCCCACACAGCCCTGCCTGTAGAAGCTGCTCTTTCCCCTTTTCTGCGCAAGTGGTACTGATATGACAATGACTCGTCCGTCGTTGAGAGATGGCTGTATGAATATAAAGGGACATGCCTGTCCGTGTCCTATCTGTAACTCTGTACCCTCAGCTGTGTCCCCAAGCCCATGGCTGTGCCTGCCTCCGATATAGTCCCACTCCGAACCTAAACAAGCTTTCGTGCAAAATGTCGGTAAGGGGGCCATAAAAAACAACAAAACGTGCATTTTGCGCACTAGCAAAATGCAAGAAAAATGCCATAACAACAGGGATGCACACAAACGTGCCATTTTTCGGGGCAGCACACGCGGGAGGAAACCACAATGTTGCGCACAAAAAGAATTAGTTTGAAGCCAGTCGGGGACGCCTGCAACCAACCACACTCAATGCATGCGACCCACAGGCTGTGGGTCCAGCATAGCTTTGCACTAACAATTACAATTGGCGATGCACACTATGGAAATTACAAGCCGCTAGTTATAGAAATGGCCCCTCCCTTGTCTAGCACATTTCATCCCAACGCTCCAGCTCCGCCTGGAGACGCCGTTTGTACTGGGGGTGGATGCACCCCCTCCCAACCCCATTGGCCTCCAACCAAACATCGCAAATGACGTTGTCGGAGGACACCTCCCCCTGTATTTGCCGCCCTTCCACCCAGCGCCCATTCAGCTGGGCATCGTCCGCGGCGTCAAAAAGGAGGGTCCCCAAGTTGTAGGGGGTTCGGGGCTGGAACTCGCTCTTGTAGTACACGACTGTGAATACTTTCTTCACCGCTGAATCACACCCCTCCGCGGCCCTGGCCCCCTTGACAAGGGCAATGTTGAAGCGCCGGCCCCATTCCTTGGCATCGGCGTCGGACATGGCGATGGCCACCTGGTGGCCGGCTGCTATGTCTCGCGCGGCGTCAAAGGGGACATACTCTTTGTCGTTTGGGAGAGCGGAGAGGTGTCCAAATAGCAGGGGGCGCTCCCCGGGCACCGGGCCAATGTCCCTGCGGGCGACACCGCCAGTGTGATGGTGAGGCAACCACGGGGAGGGGGGGGGGGCAAGCAAGTGGAATCACCGCGGGCGGACGGGATGTTGCACACGGCGGCGCGCGTACCTTGCGACGGGTGGAGCGGGGGCGTTGGAGGCGCTGCTGGGCGTAGTGGAAGGGGTGGCCAGCGCGGCGGGTGACAAGCTGTCCAGCCGAAGTGCGGCCCCCTCGTCGATGGCGAACGTGGGTCTGCCACTCCCGTCGAGAGGGAATGTGCGCTCGTGGGAGGCAATGAAGCCCTCCCACCATCGCACGGCTCTGGCCATCCGGTGGAGCTTGTGCCGTTTGATGTCCTCCGCGGCGGCGGGGTCCCCACGCACGTCAAGTTGGCGCCTCCACCTGCCAATCTTCCCGATGACCCTCTTCTTGACGTCCTCGAAGTCCTGAAGTGCTGCCCTTGGCTCCCAGCGGAGGTCGGCAAACCTCGGGGCGGGTTTCCCCGGGACGAACACCGGCCATCCCCGGCCGTCGGGCGTGCCCACCCACGGGCTATCCTCCCTGTCGTGTTCGCGGGCGAACACGACGGGCTCCCCCCCCTCCAGGACGAACTTAAAGGAGTGGAAGCACCTGCCCAAAGGATCGCACACAGCAATGAAGCACTGTGGAGCCGGGGGGGCGTCATTGCGGCGAGCGCCGTCCGCCGGCGGACCAGGCGGCAGGCGGCACACCGGCATATACCGTGGGGTGTACCCCTAAAATGCTGTCAGAAACGGCGCGGGTTTGCGCGCGTCGTGTGCGCGAACCTTAGTTGCCTGCCAGCAAACTTGGGAAGGCAGCGGACACAAACCACACCCTTGACTAGGAGAAGGGAGGGACCGTGTGGAGGACACGTCCAAGGGTAGGCGCACAGGACCTCCCTAGCAGGCAAGTCGCTCATTGCCCACGAGTAGTGGCGAGGAGGACACGGCGACAGGGTGAAGCCGCTGCTTGCAATCAAGGCTGTGGGTGGCAAGCCGGGAAGAAAGTGACGCTGCACGAGCTGGATCGGAGCTGTGGAAGGAAGCGAGGCGCACGTCGAGGCAGCAACTCCGCATTCGCGCGCGCGGCGCGCGCGCAGGCGCATGCCAGTCCCGCACACGACAAGAGCGGACAGCAGAGGTCGCCCGAGCCGGCCACTGCGAGCGCACCTTTTGTTGTCCCGTCCCGTTCCGAGGCCTCTGAAGGTGTGCATACGGACGCCCGCATCCCCGTCCTCGCCGTCCTCCTCCTCCTCGACGCCCCGCCGGCGGTCGCGCTTGTACCTCAAGAGGCGCCGGAAGTCGGCAACGCGGTCCATCCGCATGTTCACCTTCCGCGAGCTCCCCACACTCGAGTGCTCCCCCCACGCCCAGTGCGCCACGCCCATCAGGTCCTCCAAGCAGAGCGCCCCTTCGCGGTTGATGGCGGAGGCAACGAGACTGAACGTGGCGTCTATCTCCTGGTGCGTGTGGCCTACAGGCAAGAAGAAGACGCGCACCTCCCTGAACACCCCCTCCCCAACCAGCATGGCGCAGAACCCGAGGAGGTAATGGTTCTTATTGTCCTTCGCCGTGTTGTCCATCTGCAGGTGCAGCACGGGGGGCAGGCCGGGCCGGGGGGGGCAGGAGACCCGGGGCGGCGGCGTCGCAGCGGGCCACGTCTCTGATCATCTTGCAGAGGCACGTAAGCGTGAGGTTGCTGGACGCCGCCCATTCCGGGAATGACCAGAAGCCCCACCATCCGTGGCCGTACGCGATCCCGCCCATCAGCTTGGTGGTCAGGGGCAGGCCCACCTCGTCCGCCTTGCTTTTGGCCATTTCGCGCAGGATCGCCGTTTTGGCCTGGTCCATGCCGTCGATATTCAGGTACAGAACCTCCTCGGGGTGGTCCAGGGCGTGCCGCCTCCTTTCTTCCATCGCCCTCCTCGCCGCGGCCACGTACGCCTCGTGCTTGTGGAGTATTCGCAGGGCGGCGTCCCTGGCCGGCCCCGTGGCGAGGTTGGTGGTCTCCCTCAACCTCACGCACGTGTCGCACTTGGCGAAGGGCTGGTGCCGGTACGTGCGCACCTGGGGACGGCAACCACAGAAAAATCGGGCTCAGGGCTCGTCGTCAGCACACTGGCACAGACGCTCCCAGCCAAACGTGCCTGGAGTGTCTGGAAGACGAGGGGGAGGGCCTGGGGCCGCGGGCCGCCGCTTACCTGGAAGTGGCGTTGAAGCCACGTCCTGCGGAAGGTGGTGTAGGAGACGGGCTGCTGGGGGGGCTGGCGGGCGGCTGTCGCGCGGCGGTAGTACTCGTAGACGGACTGCAGGGTGGAGAACAGCCCCGCCGGCAGGAACTCCTTGGCCTTGACCTCCCCGGTGCGCCGGTCCCTGACCGTGCAGTCGGGGAAGGGCTGGGCGAGGCGGCCGACGAGGTCCCGCAGCCAGTCGGCATAGTCGTACCTCCCCTTCCCATGGCGGTGGGTCCTCCAGTTTCCGTGGTGGCGCACCTTCGGCACAACCCCGCTCCGACCCCGCCCCTGCGCGGTCTTCCGGTACACGGTGTCGGCGCAGACGCCGTGCCACAAGGCAAACGCCTTGATGCACACAACCTTGCCCCTAACCCTCCACTCGTACCGCTGGCGACGGGGCACGGCGGGGACGCCGTCTCCACCTGGCCCCACTGCGGAGGCGTCTCCCATCCGGCAGTGCGAGATATCCGCTCGGAGGTCGGCGTCCGCCTCGTCGAACCGACGAATCGCCCGCACGACCTTCCTGGCCACCAGCTCGTCGGCCGTGAAGAGTTGGTGGCAATGGCGGTGGCAGCACTGCGTGGGGACGCCCGAGGCAAGGGCGTCGGTGACGGCCCTCTCCATTTTCTCGAGCCTTCTCCTCTTCGCCGGCTTGGGCGAGTCTTCGGCGAGGTCGCGCCTGCCCCCCTGGCCATCCCCGCAGGTCGACCTTCGCTTCCTGGGGGACGTCATCTCCTCGAAGCGGTCGTGCATCATCTCGACGGTCTCCTCTCGCACGCGGCTGGACGAGGCGCCGGACGCTGGCGTGGCGAGGTGCGAGAGGTACGAAGCCGGGATGTCGCGCGACGCGGAACTGCTGCCACTTCGCGGCGTGGCGCTGCTTGAAATGGACGAGGTCGCTAACTCCATCACGCACGCGGGTCCTGGACGATGGACAAAGAGCGCGGTGTCACTAATTGAACCCGGCGAGGTTGTCGGGGATCCGGTCAGTGGAGAAGGTGTGCCGCTCGCGAACTCGGGGGAAGCGCGGGCCCCCTGGGCAATCGTCAGCTGGAGAAGGGAACAGCGCCGCGCCGACGCCCTTAAAGGTTTGCGCGCGCCGCGCGCGCAAACACCGATCAGCAACACGCAGACTTTGATCATGAAGTGGACCGCTCGAAAACAGTTTGCACGAACCATTGTGCCTGCCCGACGACATTGTCGCATCAGGCGAAGGGTCTTCTGGAGTTGCGTTTGCGCGCGTCGCGGCGCAAACTGCAAGGCCCCCGACCTTGCGGGTGGACCGCGACGCAGGTCCGTTCCGCGCCACTGCCGTCCGTTCACAACCATGTTCGGATTGGCGGCGGTCTGCGAGCGCTGTCGGCCGTGCGTTTTGCGCCGACGGCGTCCGTGCTCGACTGGCATGGGGAGGAGACTCTTGCGCGCGTGGCGCGCGCGAAGGGGGGCTCGCTCCGCGTCGCGGGCGTCCATGCACGTCGGCGCGAGCTCGTGCCCCACGCACTGCAAGGGGAGGCAGATCCGGCGTCACATGTGGTGGGCTGCACGCGCGCGCCGCCCGCGCAAAGACACCACTGGACGA